GGGGATTATTAGGAGGCCAGCTTAGAGTGACCGAGCACCGGACACCACTGGACGACACTCTCAGCATCCCCTCCCACACTGCAGTCTGCTCTTGTCCCACCAGCCCAGCTGCCTCAGCAAGGAAAGGAAAACTCAGTCCACTCTGCACACCACTTTTATTACAAGTATCTAGTTTTCTGGATTAAAAAAAAATGAGGGTTTAGAGATTTTTCCCCCCCGTGTCAAACATGACCAGTATGCACACCAACCCCTCTGAGCTGCTGTTGAGGAGCTTGCTTAGCAGCTGTTCCAAAGCCACAGGGCTCCAATCACACCTGCTGGCAACAGTGGGTCCTTCCCTCCCCCACTAGCCCCGGAGATATTCCTCTGTGCTTCCCTCATTAAGGCACAACTCCCATCCCGCACACACAGAAAAACTACATTCTGTTTCAGATCTGGAGGAAGTGGAGTCCGTGGCCAGTAGTGACAACAAGGAATCCCTCAAGTTTAGGAAAAAAACATTTGCATAAAAAAATAATCCTGCTGAAGTGTTAAAGTCTCCTACTGTTTACTGTCCCTGTTCTATCCACCCCACATTTGTCAGGGCAGCAAGCATTACAAAATGCTTCTAGAAAGACTGTTAATGTCTTTATCACATCACTTCCAGTGACCTCTGATCCAGTTCAGGCTCACAGTGGCCCACAGCCGATCCCGGGAAACACTGGGCCCAGGACACACACCCATCGCAGGGCACACACAGACACAAACACCCAGACACTCACGCCAGGGCCAGTTTTCCCAGACACCAGGAGTACCTGGAGGAAACCTACGCAAACACAGGGAGAACATGCAAACTCCACACAGATAGCACCCCAGGAGTTGAACCCGGGCCCCAGCATTTCAAGGCATCACTTAGTGACCATGTTGCCCAGACCATGAATATACTGTGGCATATTTTACAGGACGTTTATCATTTTATAGTACAATATAACGCAAAACACATTACTTCTGGCATAATCTAAAGTTCTGCCTGAGTGTCTCAGAGTGCTTTTTGAATAAACACCCGAGTGTTCCACT